TGCTCTTTCCAAGGTTACCCATTTAACTATCCCCTATACGCCTAACTAAGCCCTCCATCCACTATGCTATTGATGCCCCTAACTTCACTCCCGTCAGAAGTGGTATGGTATGGTACCCACCACCCGGCTAACAACCAAAATGTGCTCGAATACACCTGTTCCACAACTGAGCGCCAAGGTAAAGATAAAAATGATGCTTCAAATTTTTCGCTTACCGATACAATAGCCAGCCAAGTGGCTCCCTCGGCGTGTCTCAGTAGATTGGCTCCTCCAGCATAGGATAAAACGTACATGATAATGAAAATAGTTCCTCTGATGCCTGACGTGGAGTCACAACCTGCTGCGCCAAAGAAGCATTGAACTCCAAACCACCAACTAGAACGTTAGAGATAAACTTCGTTGAATGGCACGTACAAGCAAAAAACGTGCCCTAACCCCAATCCCCTCACCCTACCACCCTTCCCTACACTTACAGACCCGGAGGGACAGACGGCTTTAACAACAATATGCTCGAGCTTCACTTAGGATACGGTCGAAATTTTTTTTCATGTCAAACTAAGCATCACTATTTTAATTTTAACGCGCGAATAATTTGCAAAAACGTATTTTCGAACATTCGTATTTGTGAATAGCCAATAGGCCATTTTACAGTTGTGTACTTAGTTGCCAAGCCTTTGATTTGGAGTGAGGCTGAAAGTGGCCTTGTTGTGATAGAGACCAGTATCTAGTTAGCATGATAACAAAGTAATTTGCATTTGAAAAGCAGCAAGGTTTGTATCATAACAAGGTTACCCTTAGCCTCATTCCTGTTCAAAGGCTTGGCAACCAAGCACCCAACTGCAAAATGGACTATTATAACATGTCAACATAAATGACTCCCGATGGGTTTCTTGAGGCAAAACATCCTGATCCTTCAATTTCAATCGCGTAAATATCTCTTGATTTCGGTTGCATGTGGAGATCTTTGCTATTCGCCTGCGTTTAAAACTAGAATGTGAATGGAGAAAGACAGAAAGGAGAAGAGTCTATGAGTGAAAATAAAAGGAAGCCTGGCTGTCAGCACAAGAAGTAAAGAAATTAGACCCGCAATGGCGCAAAAATCTCACCGAAACGGATAAAGACTCGTGGTTAAGGCAATCTTCGCTGCTCGCATTCGATCGGCAGCCTTTAAGTTCTGCTGCGTCGCGCTTAAGCCGCTTTTAAGTTGAAAAAAAGGTTGAGATCAAAAATGAAGTTCGGCAGAATAGAAACAAAGGTCTGAAGTTACCCGCGAAATATCTTTTTACTAAGAGTCTCCTGAGACCCAGGACGCTTCTGTGTTTCTATTGGCGGTCAGCATGTGGAGTTTTTCAGAGTGTTGACATCACTTGACATGTGGTCAACTAAAGGCGTGACTTGTTGGTTAAACTTTGGAAGTGGAAAAAACCTACTTCGTTCTTAGGCGAACAGAGACGTCCGTCCCTTTGAAGGAATTGATAGGGTATATATACTAAACGGATTGCCTTCAAATTTGGACCGAAGACTTCCAAGATACCAACTTAAACAAGAAAGTGTCGAAATTCCGTTTTTCCAAAATGGATCTCCCGCAATGGCCTCCGACGTAAAGCATATCGGAAAAATTTTGATTTGAAAACTCGACAGATAAATTGCAAAGCAACCAAGATGAACATGGCAAATCCCCTCACGGATTTGAAGACCAACCCTTCAGGATTATTGAGATTGTGCAGAAGTTTTATTTGTGCGGTCAGATTTGATTTGCAACTAATTTGCTCAAAGAAACATTTTCGGTTTACGATTAGATCACGCTAAAATGGAATAATCTTTGCCCAATAGTGCATTTCATAGCCTCTCCGATGATACATAGTTTATGGTGGTTATGCTTCAAATAGCGCGTTTTTTTAAAATTTTTTTTTTATCTTGCGAAGGGCACCCGCGAAGGTCTACCTTATCCCTAAGTTATATTCAGGAGGTTGTATGCCTCTATCTACTCAATGTTTGGGAAACAGACTGTTATGTCGTGCAGGAGACTAAATCTGGCAGTAATTGACGGTAGGAAATCGAATTTATACGTCAGTAATGATACTTGATTCCTCAACTGATTAAGGAGACGGAATGAATAAATGGCCAGTGCACTGTACTGTGCTGGATGGTTTAACGGGTTATTGTGTAGTTGTGATAGGTCAAGACATTTTACTCTCAAGTGCCTCTTTCCTCTTAGGAATTTAGATGGATACAGGCTCCGGCAACCTGCGCAACTGTGCGAGGGAGTAACCCGAAATAAGCATTAGTCCCTTCAGACTCGGAATGAATCCCTAAAACTTTGCAAATAGATCAAGCGTTCAGATTTGTGTTACAAATCTTGTGTTAGCTATGAACCATTTGGAGAAACAAGACACGAAACTCACTTTTCCCCAAACTCTTGGATATTGCCAACATTTCCATACCACGGCAGAATGTCCAACCAAAACAAAAGTCCCACGCACAGCAGCTGATATGAAGACGTCCAAAATAGAAAATACATCAAGTTGATGCATTTCTTTGATGATTTACTTTCCATCTTCACTCCCTTCTCTTCGATCACGTTCATGACGGCTAAAGGAGCCTAAAGAATCAAAGCAAACTAATCAGCCATGTAACAGGGACAATGGCTCAGTAAGTGACATTGAATAGTTTCTCGCTAAATTCGGTTAGCTTTATGGTTCATTGCTTTTATGAATTGGTGGAGAGATTGGTAGATGACTTTGTTTACATGAACTCCTGCCGTTTGCGAGAAATTAAAAAAGAAAAAAAAAACTTCAAGACGTAATCCAGCCAAACTACAGTAAGTCAAGTATTTACAAATATGTTTCGATAATGAGCAGTTGCAGTTTTTAAAAACTAATTAATAGGGAGTTTTAGATCCACGTTTGTTTCTGAACACGTGTGAACCGAAAGCTTCTAGGAGTCACTTGACCAGACTCCAGCGGTCACGTTTGCCGTCCACGTTTGAACTTCGGGCAAGGCAGTTTCTGGCACTTCAACTCCCACGATGCTTGTTTTCTTTCTGTTGAAGAGTTCTCACGTATTTCCTATAAATACATGTGAACAGAAGTCTTTCTTCATTACCAATCTGTTTGGGACGCTAGGAAACCAATCTTTTATTCTCATTTTGTGTTTGAAATGAAGGACCTCCATCCTTTGTGCAATTCAAGATGGCGGCGCACACTGTATTAATTTTTCTTTTAGGTGAAAGCCGACGTCGATCTAAAAAGACGAAAGTCTCGAAACTTCTAACTACTTACCGCGGTTTGACGTTAGCGGTGAACACAACAAACGTGGATCTAGGGCCGGTTTACATGGATGCGGGGGACCTCAGGTAGGTGAAGTAACCCGCCTAGCCTTGGTCGAAAAATAGCCCGCGTTTACATACAATTTTGCAACCCCGGGATGCTGAGGTGAAGTTTCTAACGGTTATTGTCACGTTTGCAATCAGGGAAGTAAGATGCCACTACGACGACTTGTGGTAAAACGTTGCAAAAAAAGTTAATTTATTTTCTTCTTAGATTTTCACCGTTTCTGACGGTACAACATTTGAATGTAGTGTGAAGTTCGAAGTAAAAACGTGACTTAAACGCTGTCGAGGTTTCATTGCTAAGAGGAAGTAAAAATTGGTGTTTTAACGTTTTAGCTCTGCATAAGACGGCTAGGAATGTACAAAGTTTTAACGCACTCGTCGTCTTTCGCTAATGTTTTGCTCATTTGATCTTATTGTAACATGAACGCCACCCCAGCCAGGCGGGTTATCCCACCTTGAGGCGTTTACATGGCAAATTGTCACCCTGGCTGACAGAGTTACCCTACCCAGCACCTATCATGTAAACGTGATCACGATAAAATAAGAGATTGTATGGACAGGCGGGTAACCCCGCCCAAGCGGGTTACCTTACCCACGTGGGGTCCCCTACCTCGATGTAAAAAATCCCCTAAAACGTTGCCGAAGAAACGTAATTTTTAAACTTGAATACCGGAAACAGCAGCGACAGATGATATATATGAAATCATTAACCGAGTTATCATGGGAGGCATAAATAAGAACAACTTCCCAGCGTGGCTATTCTTCGCTATTCGCCATCCTTCGTCACTATTCGCCACTATTCGTCACCATTCGCCACTATTCGCCACTATTCGCCACTATTCGCCACTATTCGTCAATATTCGACACTATTGCCACTATTCGTCACATTTCGTATTCGGTCGTTATTTGCACGGCACAAAAACCTTCGTTTGGGTTTATCACTAGCCCAGAAATACAGTAAAACTTCTATTAAGCGGACAACAGGTAGGCCAAGCTCTAGTTATCCATTTTTCGGTTTCCTATTCCACAGGGGGACAACTCGCTAAAATGGCCTCGTTGCAGCAAAGTAAGAGGTCACAAAACAAGCGATGCACTGTGGAAGTAAGGTGAGGTTGAAAATTTGACTGCATTTTTACATCCTAGGAGCGGTCGTAAATATTCACATACAAACTCTTACATTTTCGTCATGACTCTTTTTTCACAAGATTATCAACTCACGGCTGGAGCTTGGATTACCTGTGAGCCAGGTTCCGAAATTAACGTCTTATGTTTCCCTTTATTACAAACCTCAATTTAACGGACGTCTCTATCAAGTATTTGTCTAAGTAATTTCTAATGTAAAAAACCTTAATTAAGGAGATACCGGACTGACAATTGACAATGTAGTGTATGGGATTACGTCCTTGTAATTTGAACAGACACGCTGAAAGAGTCTATGTACCGCGCGTATGATCGTTGCTGTTTTGCTCTTGTTTTTGCATTATTATTAACAAATTAAAGTTGGTCATGAAAAGTAATGAATTTGAACTCTGGATAGCTTTGTTAATAACACAGAACTTTTTCACAGAACAAAGTTCCCGTTGAATTTTATTCGTTCACAAGTATTGCGCAATTTTCACAAGACACTTGGGAAGGTCCCGAGCGTGTACTTAAAAACATTATTAAGGGTCACGTGAATTAGTTCTCTCAGTTTACAATCTCTTGCAAGGTGGTTTTACCCTCCTTTCGCTGCACCTTTATAAAAAAAAAACACCTTTGAAGACCTCAGAAACAAAGAGAAAACGAGCGGAAGTAAACTCAATTGGAAAGAAAAGTGCTTCAAAGTCATAAATCGGACATATATTTTATACATATTTGGCAGCTGATCTACCATGGTTTGTGGTATTACATATTGCACTGGAATCGACCTTTGCTTTTTTTTCACGCAGGCACCTTGTGCTATTTTGCTCCATTGTCGCGCGGTTAAATTTAATTACTTGCTTGGGCACAAGTTGAATTTTCAGCATCAATTGTGTAGTCCTTCTCCGATATTTTAAGAATGTTTGGTCGCTAATTCATCAGTAATTCTCCTTATTATTTGCTATACAATTCTCATGATGTTAGCTTGGAGAATTTGGTATTCAGAGAACAAATGAAAATTCCCAAATCGTTTTTTTTTTCATTCTCGTTACTTGTCTGGTTGACATTGCATTGACACTGTAAGGAAAAATTATCTCGTGGTCATTCATGCGAGTTAAAGGGTTAATTGAATTATTGAGAACACCATAAGGTAGCTCCAAGGTCCTTTGATTAAATTTTCCAGATGAAGTTTCATAATCATTTCCGGGAGACAAAGGATTTATTAAGGGCGATAAGGCACACAATTTTAGCTAGAGTTCTCAAAAGAAACGCACTCCCAAAAATTGACTTCGACTTGAATGCTAGTTGGGTACCGGATCAGACCCTCTATTCTAATAACACACAAACTAAATTCGTGTGGAATTATCGGAAGAAAATCTTTAATATTGCCTTAGTGTGCGTTGGGATTGGTTTAAACCAGTTTTAAAATTTTTGATCCAGATTAACTAACAAGAAATTAAGCCATTTGGCTTTGCCCGCTTGGGTTAATCAAACCTAAAATAGCATCGGTGAAATTTCGATTTCTTTGACATAACGTTGTACTTACGAAACCAAGCATGAAAATCATCGGCCACATTACTCTGGAAACACCCTGAGCATCGTTTTTTCTTTTCTCGGCTTTGGGATCAACATCGGGAAAAATTGTTGGGATGAGGCAAATAAAAAGACCAACAACCACGATGACACCACAGGACAACTTCAGCAGGGTGGGCTTCTTGCGCAAAATCAGCATCCTTGGAAGAAAAAAATTCACAGCAGTGATGTTGAGTCGTTTCGTGAACAATGAAGAACACGCTAATAAAGTTATATCTCCATTATTAGAATGTAAATAACAGCAAAGAAGCTGCTAGTGTGTTTTTTGTAGGAACCCATTGTTACGAACAGGCACGTTCATTTTTAATCAATTTCTTCATGTAACCTTTAGTCATGCGTTTGCGGTATCGTTTGTACAGGACACACTTTGATTTTGTGGCTTGATTTTGATTCATCTGTTTTATGTCAAATTACTTGTAATAGTTTCGGACGCTTCGAGGCCATGACATATAATAAACAAGTTTCAATCGAGGATACAAGTTATTCTTTTCTTTACGACTTTATGACACCCATCATGTCAGTGAAGAAAGTTATTTTAGGCTGATTGCAAAGTCACATGAATTGATGTGGAAACAAATGTTTGCGGGAATTCCTTCTAAGAACTTGTCCCTTATGATAAAATTCTTGCCGCCGGAAACAAATCAAGTTGGTTCTAGTTTTTCATGTCATCGTTAGAAAATCAGCAAATAAGTCACACCAGGAGCCCATTAATGGGCTCCCGGCCACATTGACTAACGATACCTACGAATATTTGTCACCGGCACCCAAACTTCAATTATGCCGTTACATTATCACTTAAACGTGACGGCCGAGCGCATCATGTAATGCTTGCTTTGAAGTGGACAGAGAACCTTCTTCTATAAAAACGATCCACTCACCTGATTAAAATAGTCAAAGGGATCATGAAGTTTCCAAGAATCGCTTGAAGGTATGGCGGTGTTCTCGACCCTTTACTCGCGAATACAACCAGAGCTCCGTTCAAAGAGTCACAGAAGCCAACCAAGAAGAGCAGAAGGTGTGGAAAACGTTTTTCTGTTTCGCCGAGATCTTGAGGTGAAAATGTTTTAATGAACAACGTTCCAAGTCCAAATATTACTACAAACGACAAACTCGCGAAAGACAGCACAAAGTAACTGTCGACTGATTTTCCCGAATGTTTCCCATTCACGGAATCGATCCAAAGGGGAAGTGAAACGTTCTGACCGACTTGGCCGGCTACAGCAAGAAATGCAAAAAATAAGTTTGCCCAGAATAGACGAATTTCGCAGAATCCAATCTTAACTTTTTTTCGTTTTCCATAAGGTGAAGTCAGGCGAGATGGCTCGAAATCTTCAGTGGAAATGCGTGACACATCGCCGTCTTCATAACTCGGGTGAGAGCTACTGGTAGAACCCATTTTTTGGAGAATTGACAGGAGATTCAAGGCGCCGTGCTTGCCGCGAAAACTTCTCACCAGCCTCGAGAGAAGGTGTTTATCTCCTCCCTGCCGGATAAACTTTAGTGCGTCCTCGCTCTTAGAAGATTGGATTGAAATTTTTAAGTTTCAAGGTCGTTATATGTTAGTAATCAAGTTGCGTCACAACATAGAAATCTCGTGCTCTCCATATGCTGGACAGGGCTATATCTACGTCAGAACAGTTAACTTAAACAAGTTTTTTTTCATCACATTCACAAGATGCCATTTCGGCAGAAAAATAAAAATACGTTTATTCGTATATGTAATCGCATGGGCCCGAGAGTAATGGAGGATTAATTTCACATGTATTCTGAAAGTTTTCTTAAAATTGCCTGAGTCGCTTCGTGCATTCACGCACGATGTCAGCGCGATGAAGTTCTTTCAATACCACCACAAATTTCAAGACAAACATAACTGACCAATAGATTAAATGAATGTTTCATTCTCAAAATACAGTTAACAATGTTATATGGCCTCATTCAGTAAATTGCAATCAATATATCGTTGCTGCAAACAGCAAAAAGGCTCATTAGACATCAAGTGATCATGCTGTTTGTCACCCTTGAGGAACCCTCTGCGTCCATAACAACTCAACTGGGTCATCGGGTCTAGACCCCAGTGAAAAACACAAAGAAGATCGAACTTGTGGCAAGCACGAGTACAATTAAGGGCACCAACTTCTCAAGGTTAACCAAACATAACAATTAACAAAAACAATCGAAAGACTGCATGAATCAACAAGATAAAAATAATTTTATTTCTTAATAAAGAAAGAATAAATTTCCAAAAGAAATACAGTTCTGTCCAAAGGCCGTTCATAACTCTTTTGTTATGAATATGAAAGCCGATTTTTGTGAGAGAGCGCACTTTATTTTGTTTCGGTTTACCACATACAGACCACATGATGTGTTCGTGGTTAATTGTTGTTGAAGAGAGACGAACAAAATCTGAGGGTTATGAATACAGTCATGAAAAATTTCATATCTAAATCACATCTCGGTTTGAATATCTTAATTAAATGAAATGAAATGTTAATCAAAGCATTTGTGGTATTTTCTCGCCTTCGTGGGCAGTTTGATGCGTCTTTTTACGAAATTACCTTCAGCCGGAGGCCGTTCAGAGAAGAAAAGGTGTCTCCCTTTCTTTCTAAAAATCATTCGTACAATTACGTTCCCACAAGCTGCATTAATTTAAAAGGTGGCTCCACCTAACAGTGGAAATGAAAAAAATGAATCTATTTGGAAAGTTCCTCTCGAAAAGTTTAGTTATTGATCAGATAATTCATCCGTACTGGGGACTGATTGTTATTTATCTCCTGAGGGGGCTGGAGGATTTGGGTTGCGTTACCCTGATACATTTTATGTCATTCCATCCATCACTAGTGCGCAGGTGTCTACTATGTTACAAAGTTACGTCCGTACAAAGCTGCTGACATTGATTACATAAGTTCTCAGCTGTTGCGTATAGCGGCACCTGTTATAGCTCGACATAGACTCAAAATTGAGATCAATTTCTCGTTATAATAAATTTAAATATTCACATTATATGGATGTCATATCAGTTCAATAAACATTCAATTAACATTTCATTTCATGATTGCCTGAAATAATTGCCTGCAATCAATAAAGCTTCCTTTTGTACTTGTTGGATACTTCGTTTTTTGAAAAGGTTTGTACTTTGGTAGTTTTTCGAGGTCGACTAAGATATATCACGGTAGACCTGTACGGGATTATAATTTTAGATGCTCATGTACCGAAAAATCTAACACTCGTAGGACAGCTGGGCGCGTCACGTCTATATCTCGCCTCCAAAATGTATCGAAATAAACAAAAGTTATGTTTCTTCACGCACAAGCAAAAATTTTTTATATACTATGATCGTGACAGGAGGGATACGGGATATGATCGTGACAGGCGGGATACAGGATAGGGCTGGTACAGGTGGGATCATAATTTAGCCTAAGTTGCGCGTAACACGACCTCAGAGACAATTGCTTTAGAAACGGATTTGATTAATGCTCTCGAGTAAATTGAGGCTGACAGGCCTAAGCGACTCTGTAGTACGTCCAGTTTTCTCTGTATTAGTTCAAGTGTTTACACGACTACATAGTATGTCCAGTTTTCTTGCCTTCTTTATAATTTTGGATAAGCTCGTATCGTACATTGAAACGAGTATCACTTCTTTCGGAGGCTTTGTTTTTCTCTAGAAGTTGATGAACGCTGTTGTATCTTTGAGATATTACTTCTGTTGCTGTGTGATCGGCCGAAGAATTTTATCCATGTATCAGGATAGCTTTTCTGTTGGTCCATCCACAGGTGGAATTTTTTAAATCTCGGTTATAAAATCCGTAAACACACCGAAGACCACCGTTTTTAAGCCAGTTAAATATGCATGAAGCAAGTCTTTGCCTTTCTCCACAATGAGAGTACATTATCTCTATTTAAAGGTTATGATTTGTCCATGAGTTGGCAGGGAACTAGAGTAACTTAGGTTTAGCCGGCGGGGTCGGGATGAAAATATTCATTGCATTGCGGGATGAAGAGAATAATAGCGGCGGGATGCGGGATGTGGGATTGGAAAAGTCTATTTTTGACCCTCATATATGAACTTCGTAATGGGCCTCACCCTTGAGCATCTTCTAATCAGCTGTACCTACACTAAAAACTTTTGGCTTTCGGTTATTTCTTGGTTAAATACTTACAATATGAAAATTGATAAGCTTGATGAGGTAACAATCCTCTTTGGTATTTCCGATGATAACCCTGGGAATTGTTTGTTAAATCACATAATCATTCTTGGAAAATATACCATTTATTCATGTCGTTGTAAAAATATCAAGCCGTCTGTATCCTTACTGAAGGCTAAAACATCTGAAACTCGGAAATTTGAATTTTTGATTGCAAAAAAGAATAAAAAAGAATCTATTCATTATAAAAAATGGGAAAACATGTTATTGTAACTCAATAGATGAGTATCGGGTATTAACAGTTATAGACGCAGTTGTATATACAGTCGTTCTACCAAAAAAGGAATTTGATGTAGAAGTATTTGTACAAATTAGGCTTATATTATTATATAACCACAACATAAATTAAATCTAGCCGACTGTGAATGTAATGTAATGTAGTATTTCGTAATTAGTGTTAGTGAGTAGCGTAAGCGTTAGTGTAATTAATTTTGTATTTGTTTGTATTACTCTAGTATTTGTGCTTAAAGTGAAAATAAAAAAAAAATGTTAAAAGTGAAAAAAAAAGTAATGGGCCTCGCTCTCCAGAGAGTCTCTGGAGAAGGTCTGAGGTTCGATTTCTTATGGGAACTCAGAATTATCTCCTTCTCCCACGCTCGAGACAAGACGAAAATTAGACATCTTTCTCTATTTCTTTAACGAACTCAAAACTCACCATCTTTCTTGTTTTTTTTACAAAACAACTTATTGCACGATTCCAAAATAATTAGTGGAAAGAATTGTTCCAGTTTGATCAAAGATCTCTAATTCGAAAAGTCAGAACCAAATCATTAAAAACGGTTGTTTTAGTCCTTGACAAATAACAATTCCAAAATTTATAAGACTTTGTCACGGAATGATTATAAATGAGAAAAGGCGAAATGTAGAAGTTGCCAAATACTAAAAGAAACATTTTAGTAGCTTTGGGTACTTTAACTATCTAGTTATTGTTGAAATTTCACCCTTCTTAAACGCTATAATTTCCCAAATTGTTGGTTTCAGACAAAAGAGGACGAGCTGCATCAGGTAGAGGTTCAGTACGGTAAAAGCGACATCGATGCGACACCTCAAAGTCTCTTCGCTCTTTTCCATCAGTAGAAATCTCTGGAGCTCTGAGACAAAAAACAAGGAATGTGGTAAAACAAGTTGAAAAATTTTGGGCTAACTAGTTAACGTTGGGGGTGATCCTGTTTACTTCAGGGGAGGAGGAGGGGGGGGGAGGGGGGAGGGGGGGAGCAGCTTGGAGAGGTGGAACGAGCTTGCAAGAAACCTCAATAAACCAAACCCAAGACAGAAATGAAGTTTAGTGCTTGGGTGCGAGAAGGTCATCAAATGTACCTGTTTCACTCTAGTTGCCATACAATTCACCTTAACATGCCATAAGGTAGTTTACTTGATGAAACTGGCAATTGGAAAGTTCGAGTGAACAAAGGAGAGATATTTCCCCGTTCAATTCATCAAGTCGTGGTACAATTCGTGGGAACCAACTTTTACTCCCCGCCCCGTGTGTGTGTTCCGTGAGAAAGGGGTGTCAAATATTATGACAGAGTCCTTAGAAACTAATGCAATGAATAATGAAGAGTTTGTTGTGTACAAACCAAAACTTTCATTTGGCGCGAAATCATGTTCGTATACTTGTCCGAGAACATTATTTATTCCCATATAGAACAACTGTCATCCCTTCCCTTCCCTTTCTGCTATCACCTCTGCTTCAAGCGTTAAGGTAACGAGATTAAAGGAAACAATCACCCACCAAAATAGGTCTTGATTGTTAAAAAAATTCTCCTTGTCAGTATCAGAAGAAATGTTATAAGGATGGTGTGGAGAATATTCACACTGATCACAGAGTGTAAGGGGTTGAGAGAGAGTCGATTGTTTACTTTCTTACCCATTATGGTATACAAAAATGGCGGGAACAATGATCGCCAGCGCGACAATACTAAACCAGGTGCTGTTGTTACATCGAGGCTGCCATTTGAACGGGACCTCCTCGAACAATGTCCAGAAGAGAAAGCCAAGGGGAGTTACCAGAGACTAAGAAATAATAATCATGACAATAATAATTAAGACAACAATAGACGGTTAAGAATATATGAAAGTCATATATTTGAACTGCGGATAAAGACGTGAATGAAAGTGATCCTCGCAGTAATGTGCACTACAAGTAAGAGCCGAGAAGGTTTCAGTCTTAGTTGAACCGCACTCCCCAAAATTTTGTAAATAACTCGTCTCTATTTCGTGATTCATAAACTTTCCTCGTGTTCTCTCAACCTTCAGCGTAGGATATTATACCAGTAAAGCGATAAAAAGTTCGATCTCTTGCTTTAATCATTGATCAATTGATAAATGCCTTAGACAGTACTTTGTTGGCCGACGCAACCTTGACCCTAGTTTTTTTCAAAGTTCCATGTCTTATTACTCAGACACATTTATTACTTTCCCCTCAAGGTTTCTTTCGTCTGAACGGGTTCAGGCTGGAACGAAACGGGAAGAGTTTTGGGCGGGATGGCCTTGGGACAGGAAGAGATTAATACGCGAGAACCTTCTTTTTTTTACTTTTAGCCTGCTTCTGTGCCCAGTTTGCGAACTGAACGTATTGAACAAGTAATGGCGAGTTTATTCGCTCACCGACACAATCGCCAGCCACGTGGCTCCTTCAGCATATCTTAATAAGCAAGCTGCTGCAATGTGATTTAGCAGATGCATCACGATGTACATTGTTCCTCTGATACCTGATGAATAATCGCAGCCGGCTGCACCGAAGAAACATCGCAATCCAAACCAAAGGCTGAAAAAAAATGTCAATTTACAAGTGTTACTGCGGTGATTTCGTCCATTTCAAGTCCTAAACTACGAGGCCAGTTTTCATCTCACTCTGTTCCGGTCCGCGTAACTTAAACCGATCGTCCAAAGCTATATATAGACCATGTTTAACTACCAACTGAGGAACAATAATCGTCTATCTTGTATGCCCTTGTATGCCGTAAACAATGTGTAACTTACACTTCGTTTGAATAACCGACCCTTAGGCTTGTAGAAAAAGCGAGGGAATAATACTAAAAAAAATGATGAAATAGAAAGTATGACAGAATTAGGAATGAAGAAAGAATGAAACATACGAGAGAAATGAAGAATGAAAGAACGAAAGAACAAAAATACAAAGGACGAAAAAGCGGAAGAACGAGAGAACGAGAGAACGAGATAACGAAACAACGAAGGTATACTTACTTTCCGGTACACTCTGCCAAATATGTAACATTTCCATACCATGGCAAAATGTTTAACCAGATTAGGAAAACAGAGATACAAAATACTTGATACGTGGTCGTCCAAAATAAAAAATAAATGACGCCAATCCTCTCTTCCGATGTTTCATTTTCCTTTTGCAATCCTTTTTCTTCGAGAATAAACATTAGCGCTGCCGGAATCTATAACAACGGAAATTCTTGTAGGGCTTATTAAAATTGAGAAAAATTATTAGAGCGCCATGCATAACGTGGCCCACAACAACAGCTGCTAAGGAGACAAAAAAACACGAAGCAACCCCAAACAGATAAATTCACTATGAAGGTTGATACTGGATCATTAGGAGAGTAGAGCAGAGATAAACTTTGCAACTGTTTAATAAACCATTCTGGAGAGCGTCGATGAAATCTCTCGCCCCACTCCCCTAATGCCGTCTCTAGATCAACCACAGGCAGCCCAAGATCCAGCTGTGAGATAATCATCTTGCGAAACAAGAGTCATGGCGAAAATAGAAGAGTTTGTATGGAAATGTTTACGACTGCTCTTAGGAAGTAAAAATACAATCAAATTCTCAGTAAATACCTCGCCTTACTTTCACAGTGCATTGCTTGTTATGTGGACGGTTACTGTTCTTTGCTGCAACGAGGCCATTTTAGCGAGTTATCCATTTCTAGGTTTACTACTCCTAAGAGAAGGACAAGGCTGCATTCTCCATTTCCGAACGCCCGATCCGAAGAGCGAAAAATCCAAGCTCAAATTGACCGGGCGGCCGCAAATCCAACGAAGAATCCAAGCACATACAGTTTCATTTCAATTCACTTCTAACTCAATCCTCCCCATGAAACCGACGCTAAGCCGCAGTTTGCTTCCAAATTTCCAGTTTAGACGTTTCTAACGACCCGCGTACGCATTCACCTCTAAGGCCTGAGTAGTGAACGTTGGAAAGGATAACTCGCTAAAATGACTTCTTTTCAACATAGTAAGCGATCAGACAACAAGCAATGCACTGTGGAAGTAAGGTGAAGTATATATTGAGAATTTGACCGTATTTTTTTTTATTCATAAGAGCGGTCGTAAATGTTCCCATGTTCGCAAGACCCTTATTTCGTAAGATGATAATCTCACAGCTGGAGCTTAGGCTGCCTGTGTATCAACTAGCTAGGGTCATATCCAACGCGTATGTCATGTGACTGCTTTGTTCTTCACACCCATCCGCAACTTCTAAAATTACCGTTGCCATCGCATCCGGTGAAACGGCAATACTATGGGCCACTTTATGCTATTCGAGTCAGACTTGCCCACCACAAACTTGATAATGGTCACATATAAATTAAAGATTTACTTACAAATCCAAACATGAACATAATAGGCCACATCACTCTTGAAATGCCATCAACTTCGTCTTGATCTCTGTTGCTGAAATCCAACAAAACTGTTGGGATGAGGCTAATGAAAAGACCAATCATTACCACAAGACCAGACAAGAGTTTTTGTCTAGACGGTTTCTTGCGCACAATGAGGATCCTAGAAGAAAACAAAACAAAACAAAAAAACAGATGAGACTTGTCAGCACTTTTCCTAACCTCTGTAGGGCTGCCCCTACCCTCCGCGGGGGCATCTGTGCACAAGCTACTCTTTCCCTTCAGGCTCCTCTTCGCCTAATCAAATTTGCAGTGAAATGTAAAGCCTGGAGGGGGAGGGGTGGGGATATTGCAGAAAAGTTACTTCTACTGTTCTTATCGAGATACTATCCTCAGGGGCATCACAGCTACGGTAATGACACCGATATGTTGTGTCAAATACTGCTCACAGAAATTTCATCTTCAAATCACTCAAAATCATGTATGTACTGAGCATTTACTATTCTCCCTCTCATCCGTACGGATCCATTCCTAGCATGTCACGCAACGTTGGGACTGTTGTGTGACAAGAAGGAGATTGTCACGGCTGGTTAAGGCTTTTTTATGTCTCAAAGCAGCTTTCTCGTGCTTAAATTGTAGCAAAACTATCGAGCGAGAGATCTACAAGTGATTAGGTTGGCTCTGTAATAGAAAATAATATGGTGTCGCAGTTCATATAGCGATTCTTGAGAAGCAGATTCTATCTGAATGGCGCACGGGCCCATAATTTTTTCTTTTATATAAAATATACAAGGACCCAAGCATAAAAAGGGGGGCATTTCTATTGTACCTCGATCTTTTCTAGCTACATTTATCGCAAATAATTTGATTTACCTTGTCGTTCCTTGTATTAAGGAATTAATTATTCAGCAAGAATAAGGTTAAGACAAATCAGCATGGACTCCCCGTGTGAATTAATATGGATGGGGAACTCAAGAATAAATGTTTGTTCGAGTAAAAAAGATAACTTTAATTCAGCGTGACTGTATGGTATTGAGTCACAGGGATCACCATATCTAACCCATGCTCATGAAGTTCTCAAACTGAGCAGCTAACTTGAATAATAACATCAACTCACCTGAAAAAGATAGTCAAGGGAATGATGAAGTTTCCAAGGATGTTTTGTTGGTATGGTGGAGTGCGGGAACCTTTACTCGCAAATGAAATCATTCCATCGCTCAAAGAGTCAAATAAACCCACCAAAAACAACAGCATGCGGGGAACTTTTATTTTCCTGAGAGCGTTTGGTGTACATATTCGAATGTAAAGAACTGCAAGTCCAAAAATCACGAGAAATACCACATTTGTAAATAGTAATACAAAGTAGCTGTCCACCGTGTGCCCCGGGCTGTTACCTTTTGTAGAATCGATCCATAGGGGAAGTGAAACGTTCTGGCCAACCATAGAAAGGACTGTGATAAGTGCGAAAACTACGTTCGCCCAGAACAGCGGAAGTTCAAAGAAGCCTATCTTTACCGTGGCACAATTTCCATCTTTTGAGCGCGGAAGGGAAGGTGTTGACTCGGACGTCGAGCTCGGCTTTCTGTTGGAATTCGAGTTTATCGCGAAGGCAGATGAGACTCTCGGTGTGGATGAATCCATTTGTAGAATGAATTATCGACGCTTTGTTTGTTTGTTTCTTTTAAAGCTTTTGGAACGGGTACCCCTGGATGAAGGCTCTCTCGCTTCGCACCCAAGCTGATACAAGCCGACAGTGTCATGACACTCTGGTGAGAAGCACGTTTGTTAAAAACAGGTAATTTCGAAGCCCGATCATTTTGTTGATCACGCGCCATACAGAGCGTTGACCCGACGAACTCAATCTAATCACCAATCACTTAACTGTGATTTTGTGCCTCTAGGGGAAAGCATAACAACATGTGGTTTATTTTCGAACTTATCTTGGCTAAACATATCTCATGTTTGTTTCTTGTACCCTACGTTGGATTTTAAAAATCGCTACCTTTGTTGATATAGTTTGTAACAGCCGTCGCAGTAAAGAAATGAAGATGAATTTATTAACCAATTTTTTTTCAGAGAAATACAAATTTTTCCCTTTTAAGAAGTCATACGTTGAAAAAAACTATCTGCACCTGGCAAAGGTCACGATTTTCACGCTTACACTTTCCACAGTCACCGTGTGAGGAGGGAGGGTCTCAGTGGGGTTGGCCAAATTAATTATTCTGGTCGTTAGTCGTAAAAACGTTTAACGTAATTGTTTTCTTACAAAATCATCAGAAATAATTTAACCGTTGTTCATAAAAAGGCCTAACTCTTAACCGCTTAACGTAAAAGCTATCACCCTATGGGAGATCCTCGTGAGAATCAGACGCGATATGCAGGTGTGTATTACATCATCTGAGGTTACACGAGGAGCTTTG